TTTTTTTTTTTTTTTTTTTTTTTTTAAATGTTTGGGATTGGCCAAGCTGCAAACGCGGTTGGCAAAAATGTCCCATGAAGAAAACAAGATGTTTGCTCTGGTCCCATAAGGGCATGCAAACCTAAAATCCATGAGCGCCACAGGACCTGAGAGGAGGGGACTGGGCAAAGGCATTTTTGGGTGCTCCTTCCCCTTTTTACATTGGTGCTCAGTCCTGTTCCAATGTCCCAGGCGGCGTTTGCCAACCCAGCGCACTTCTTAGTGCCTCGTTGTTCCCCTCTGCATAACGGGGCGCAGTCATCCTTGTGCAATGAGTGTGACCCTCCTGTTATGGGGATCAGCTGGATGCAGAGGGTTGGGTGAGCGCTCAGCATTGCTGTTAATGCAAGGAAGGGCAAGAAAGAGAGATCAGAAGATTGAGTGAGTGTCTCCTTGGGCCTTCCCCTGTGTGGGTTGTCTAGCATAGCATTGCCAGGGGTGTTTTTAAGGGTGTGGGGTTAGACCCCTCTCTCTCGGTAGGCTTGGTGGAAAGGGGTGAGGAAACCTGCAGATACAAGCCTTCCAGTCCCTTGCCTATCTCCAGTCCACTCCAGCCGCATGCCGGACGAATAATATTTCTCATCAACATGGCCTCTCAAGGGAACACTTTGCAAAGGAGTCTCGTGGTCTTAGATTAAAATGAGTTTTTACTGGAGATCAGCCAATTTCAGGAAGCATAGAGTTTATTTGAACAGATGCTGGCTGCTGGCCATCATCCTTCTCTGCCTGCTTTGTTTTGTTTTGGTTTTCTTCCCCTTCTTTTGATTTGTTTTTTCCCCTGCACGTGAAGAGGAAAGATTTCTCTCTCCCACATCCATGCCTGACTTCTCTTTCCCTTTTTATTTAATTTAGAGGGACAGTGCCTAGAGCAGGAGCTGTATTGATGCAGCAATCTGGGGTGATTACATGGGACCCCAAAGAGAAGAGAATCCAGGAAAACTGTATGTTACAGTCATGTCTAGAGGCCTCAGGTAGAGGCTGACACCAAGTGAGACAGAGCCCCTTTCCTAGAAGAGCTTAGGGGTTGAAGGAACATACAGGTAAGGTAGAAGAGAGGGAAACAACTAGCCTGGCTTTATTGGCTTCGCAATAGAGAGAAGAAAACCCAGCTGTCCTGATCTTAAAGGGATAGCACTGGGAATAATTCTGGGCTGCAGTTCTTGCAATCTAGTAGAGAGGGTTAGCCACAGAGGTGGGTGAGCAAGCAGTGCTCACATGTGGAACAGAATCCCCCACAACTTCTCCCTCCCTGAAAAAGCTCCGGAGTAACCTGATTCCTGCCCCGATGTTCCCCTTCTGGCCAAGTTAGTCCCACGCTGCCTTCAAGGTTGTCTAATGATACCAATGTCTACACAGAATGCCACCTGGTCTTGTGGTGGAGGCATTGTGGTCCAGTGGGTTGGCCACCGTGCAGGGAGTCAGGAGGTGGGAGCTTAGTTCCTAGCTCTTCCAGTGAGCCATGTGCTTTTGATCAAGTAGCCTCTCTTCTCTGCATTCTCCTTACCCCTCTGTCTTGAGTTTTTGGCAGTGAAATCCTGGCCTTCTTGAAGTCCAGCGATGCATTGCCTTTGACTTCCCTGCTGTGCCTATGCAGTGCCTAGCACAGTGGAGTCCAGAGATTGGTAGGGGGCCCACAAGTGATGCTGTGTGATGAATGATGATCAAGGGTGACTACCTGTCTGTGGGAGAGGGCAGCCATCCCTCCTCCAGATTCCCAGACCTCTCCACAGCATTGGCATCATTGAACCCAAACACTGCTATGGTGCTGAGGGAGGTGACAGGAACCTACCTAGACAGGCTGGTATGTTGGGCAGAACGGAACCAGGTGAGGTTCAACGTAGAGAAATGCAAAGTGCTGCATCTGGGAAGGAAGAAGTGATTCTCCTGCTTTACTCAACACTGGTGCAGCCACAGCTGGAGTATTGCGTCCAGTTTTGGGCACTACACTTCAACAAGGATGTGCTAAAGCTCGAGAGGATCCAGAGAAGGGCCATCCACATGATCAGGGATGTGCATGGCAAGCCATACGAGGAGAGGCTGAGGGATCTCGGACTCTTCAGCCTAAAGAAAAAAAGGCTGAGAGGGGACCTGATTGTGGCTTACTGCTATCTCAGAGTGTTGTACATCAGGGGCTCAGCGAATAACTGTTCACCAGGGTGCCCTGGGGGGAAACTAGAAACAACGGCAAGAAACTCCTAGAAGATAGTTTCAGGCTGAACGTTAGGGAAAACTTCTTTACAACTAGGGTTTCCAGACTATGGAACAAGCTCCCCCCAGATGTGGTTCAGTGTTCTACCGTAGAGGTCTTCAAGAGAAGACTGGGTGGTCACCTGGCTGGGGTCGTCTGACACCAGATGTCTTTCCTGCTCAAGCAGGGGGCTGGACCTGATGATCCTTTGAGGTCCCTTCCAGCCCTGTGATTCTATGAGCGCACAGAAAGGACCTGGAATGGCTTGAGTCCTGGCTGGAAGGGATGTGTCCAGAGAGTAATCTTGGGGATTGGCCTCTGATGAGGCTCTATTCACTGTCTCCATGTAGCCACTCAGAGAGTGTTTGAGTGGCTGTGGATTTAAATGCAGGTGAGTTAAAACTCTACTAATCTTCCTGCAACAAGTCCCACCACCACAGTCACTTGGCCACAAATAGTAGGGAGAGGAGCTGGACCCCGAGGGAGGACATTAGAAAGGCAGAGGGGATGGATGTGGAAAAGTACAACCACTAACATACTCTGGGACAGGAAGAGGACTGACCTAAAACCATGCTAATTGGCTGGAGGAAAACCAGCTTGGCCAGTTGACCACACCAGATCTCTGAGGATGTTAAATGCAATGAGGAGTGTTTTATTGAATGTGAAAATGAGAGGGGGTGTGTGGGGCAGGTGCAGCCTCGGTGGCAGTGAGGCAGAGGTATCTGAGAAGTGCTAGGTCTACAGGTATTTCTCAATAGCTGTCTGCTACTGCTGTCTGCAGGAATGGTGACTTAGTGCAATTTGGAATGAGCCCTATACTGGTTGTAGATGGGATCAGGACATAGAGATGTGCAGCTCTCCTGGGAGCTGGCTGGAAAAAATTGTAATGCAACACTTTTTTTTTTTTTTTTTTGGAAATTGCCAGTCTGTTGAAACTGAAATGTTTTGCTGAGCTGGTATGAAGACGTTCTGGCTAAACTCAGGCAAGCTTCCAGCTATTTTGCTTGCTCAGTCCCTCTGCAGCCCAGGCTGCCAGCGTCTGTGGCTCTGGGGCAGCTTGCTGTGTGGACTGCATCTGGGCTGGGGATCTCGGGGCTACCTGTGGCCTTGGCTCCAGTGTACCTGCCAGGTGGATGGTCATGCAGTCAAGGTTTCCTGGCTGTGCTTCAACTCATGGCATGGAGTTTTTTCTTTAGAGACTACTGAAATTAAATACCTCCATTTTTCCAGTTGTAACCCCCCACTCCTGGGTTGCAAAGGGTTAAGCAGAGAGTGGTGATAGTACCAGTTATTCTCCTTATATGCTAATGTTTGGGAGGGAAGCTGGTGTGCTCGTGGATCTGTGCATTGGTGTTTCAGCTGATGGTGCTCTCCCAGAAACCGACCTCCTGTATGCCAAGAGGCTGAAGGAAGACTTAGCAAAGGCCTATACTACTGATTTAGAGGCTGCTGCAAGGCTGGGCATAAAAAATAAGGCTCAATATGACCAGCAAGTGTGACACCAAGACTTGCAACCTGGTGGCAGTGTGGAACTTGGGCCTCCCTGGGAAACTCGGTATACAAAATCACTGGGGAGTCACCTCATATATAACTGGGAAACAGCTTTCCAGTTGTCCAGACTATTGGGTGAAGCCTGAGCCATGGGCATGGGAAAGAAAAAATGTAGCACCAGAATCATCTTCTCCCCACTGGACAATCCATGTCTCGTGCCACGGGTTGATCCCAAGATTCAGACATTGGC